GTTGTGGGCTCTATCCCAGTAGGGGGCGTGTAAGAGGCAGCTGATTAATGATCTCTCTCATTGAGGTTTCTTCTCTCTCTCCCTCTCCTTCCTCTCAGAAATCAATCGTATATAATAAAAGTGTAATATGCTAAGTGTCCAATCATTCCACCAGTTGCTATGATGCGCACTGACCACCAGGGGGCAGACGCTCCAACCGGTAGGTTAGCTTGCTGCTGGGGTCCGGCCGATCAGGACTGGGCAAGACAGACTGGACATGCCCTGGAGCCCTCCTGCAGTCCTTCCCCGGCAGCCAGCCCCCATCACCCCGGTCAGGATTGGGCGAGATGGCCCTGCCAGGCTGAGGGACCCCACCTGTGCACAAATTTGTGCACCGGGCCTCTAGTAAAAATGTATTTTAAAAAAATAAAAGTAAACTGAACTTTTTGGTCCCACGGCTGATACTCATAACCACTGAGCAACCCAGCCAGGGCAAGTCCGGATGTTTTATATAGACGCTGTTTGGAATCACTAGTTTCGTCCACGGGAATTCCAGATGGGACTGACAGCGGCGGGTAGGGCCTCTGCCTTCTGTAGCCTGACATCATCTCCGAGCTCTCTTCCTCTGGAACGCCCGAGGCAGCGCGTCGTATACCTGCAGGGCTGACAGCGGCCGTCCTCCCCTCCATTCCAGGTGGCGAGGAGTACCTCATCAACCTCATAGACTCTCCGGGTCACGTGGACTTCTCCTCCGAAGTGTCCACGGCCGTTCGCATTTGCGACGGGTGCATCATCGTGGTCGATGCCGTGGAGGGAGTCTGCCCACAGGTAGGGGGGGCTGTGGTGTGGAAATACGTCGCCGGTGCGGGAAGGTGGCGGAGGAGGAACTGGCTGCTGCTGGCCGTGTGCACTTAGACATTTCACTGACAGTCACTGGTTTTACATTTGACGTTTGATAACCTTCCAGTCTGTGGTGGAGTTACCTCACCTAAGTTTTCAGGATGACTTTAACTTTATTTTATTTTTTTTTTAAATTATATATTTTATTGATTTTTTACAGAGAGGAAGGGAGAGAGATAGAGAGTTAGAAACATCAATGAGAGAGAAACATCGATCAGCTGCCTCCTGCACATTCCCCACTGGAGATGTGCCCGCAACCAAGGCACATGCCCTTGACCGGAATCGAACCCGGGACCTTTCAGTCCGCAGGCCGACGCTCTATCCACTGAGCCAAACCGGTTACGGCTGACTTTAACTTTAGATTCTTTTTTTTTTAAAATACATTTTTATTGATTTCAGAGAGGAAGGGAGAGAGAGAGATAGAAACATCAGTGATGAGAGAGAACCATCGACCGGCTGCCTCCTGCACGCCCTACACTGGGGATCCAGCCGGCAACCCGGGCCTGTGCCCTGACTGGGAATCGAACCCTGACCTCCAGGTTCGTAGGTTGATGCTCAACCCCTGAGCCACGCCGGCCGGGCGGGCTCCTCACTGTCTTTTACACAGTTTCATTTACCCTCCTTAAGCAAATGGCCAGTTCCACGAAGGTAAGGATGATTTCTAGTCTGTACTTCTTTGCTGATGTGTACTACACTTTGTGAATGTCTAGTGACCACCTGTGTCTGACGGGCATAGTCCGAGTTATAAAGGAGTATGGAAATGAGAGGATTATTATTTCTTTAAAAAATATATTTGTATGGATGTCAGAGAGAGAAGGAGATGGGGAGAGAGATAGAAACACCAATGATGAGAGAGAATCACTGATCGGCTGCCTCCTGCACGCCCCACACTGGGGATCGAGGCCACAACCCGGTCATGTGCCCTTGACTGGCCCTTGTCCAGAATCGAACCTGGGACCCATCAGTCCACAGGCCGACGCTCTACCCACTGAGCCAAACCAGTGGAATGAGCTGATTATTAATCAGGATTTCTTTAATGTGCTTTAATTATTTCAAATCACGAGTTTTCTATTTTTCTTTGTTTCCATCAGACACAGGCAGTTCTGCGCCAGGCCTGGCTCGAAAACATCCGGCCCGTGCTGGTGATCAATAAGATCGATCGCCTGATCGTGGAGCTGAAGTTCACCCCGCAGGAGGCCTATTCCCACCTCAAGAACATCTTAGAGCAGGTATTGCATTCTTTACTGCGGTCATTTAAAAATCGGGGCTCGAAGAGGAGTTGCAAGGAGGTTGCTGGGTGGAGTCTGAGGCGCTGCTCTGGAGAATTCACTTCCTTAGAATTTACTTTCCCGCCGAAACCAGTTTTGCTCAGTGGATAGAGCATCAGCCTGCAGACTCAAGGGTCCCGGATTCGATTCCGGTCAAGGGCATGTACCTTGGTTGCAGGCACATCCCCAGTAGGGGGTGTGCAGGAGGCAGCTGATCAATGTTTCTCTCTCATCGATGTTTCTAACTCTCTATCCCTCTCCCTTCCTCTCTGTAAAAAATCAATAAAATATATTAAAAAAAAAAAAAAGAATTTACTTTCCCACTTAAGAGTCACACGTGCTGGCATCATCAGACTACAGCAGAGGCAGCAGCGCACGCCTCCTCTCGGGGTCCCGCCTGCTGGGAGCGGCCTCGCGCGTGAAGCTTGAACAATAGGTTTTAATGCCGTCTTGTGTGAGATCTTGTAGTTCTGGTTCCACGGGGAGGCGATGTTAGGAGGCTGTTTGGTTTTTGTGTTGTGTTTTGTTTTTTAATTTTTTCCCAGAAAGATTGGATAGTTTCTGAGTTGGTTTTTTTTAAAAAAAAATATATTTCTTTATTGATTTCAGAAAGGAGGGGGAGAGAGAGAAACATCCACGATGGGAAAGAATCATGTATCGGCTGCCTCCTTTACCCCCCACTGGGTCTGGAGCCCACAACCCGGGCCTGTGCCCTTGACCGGGAATCAAACCCTGACCTCCTGGTTCATTGGTCGATGCTCAACCATTGAGCCACGCAGGCCGGGCGTGGATTTCTGAATAATAGCTTCCATTGTCTCTCTGAGGTCGGAAATAAGATGACTTGAGAGTGAAAATCGTTGGGAGTTAGAGGTCGGGAAGGGGGCCTGCGGAGAGTGGTGACAAGTTCAAATACGTAGCTGATGTGCGAATGCCTGGGGCTAAGGCTGACTAAGGCTGCAAACTAGGATGGTGGGAGCCCTGAGTTCCCGGGGACGCCAGGCCTCAGTCCTGAAAACAGGTAAAGGGACGACACATTCGTGTTTGCATTAAAATGGTCATCACAAGAGTGACCTGCAGAAGCCGTGCAGTCCAGCTGTGCTGGGGTCAGAAAGAACCGGTCGATAACACGGAAGTTATTCATGGTTGTCAGTGTCAACCTCACCTGAGCCCAGGCGGTTCCAGGCGTGGCCAGTGCTAGTCACGGGGTCTCCCACCCCGGGCGCCAAGCCGCCGATTGACCCTCTGCCGTTTCACCCTCTCTCCTAGATTAATGCGCTCACGGGAACTCTTTTTACTTCCAAAGTCCTAGAAGAGAGGGCGGAGAGAGAGAGCGAGTCCCCCGGGACCCCGGGGTCCGACCCGGAGCAGGTGTACGACTGGAGCACGGGCTTGGAGGACACGGACGACTCCCACCTGTACTTCTCCCCGGACCAGGGCAACGTGGTCTTCGCCAGCGCCATCGACGGCTGGGGCTTCGGGTGAGCCCCTCCCCAGACCCAGCCTCGCTGTGGCTTCCAGACACAGCTGGTGTATGTTTTATTTTTCATTGATGTCAGAGAAGAAGGGAGAGGGAGAGAGAGAGACATCCATGATGAGAGAGAATCAGGGATCGGCTGCCTCCTGCACGCCCCCTGCTGGGGATCGAGCCCGCAACCCGGGCCTGTGCCCTTGACCGGAAATCGAACCCTGGACCTCCTGGTTCATAGGTGGACGCAGGCCGGGGGCTACACAGCTGATACTTTAAATGGAACTTTGTGTTTTGAGATCGTTGTAGATGCACCACAGTTGTAAGAAGGAAGACAGATTCTCTTTTTACCTTTCCCTGAAGTAGCAGCCACACGGGGCAACCAATTGATGTTTCTGTCTCGTCTCTCTCTCCTCCCCTCCCTCCCTCGATCTCTCCCTCCCTCCTTGGTCTCTCTCAGTAGAATCCATAAGAACATGTCCTCGGATGAGGATTAAACACAATAAAAGGGACCATGGCACAAATTCTGCTTCATGGGGAGGTAGAGAGACGGGGACAAGACGTGGGCTCTGGAGCCAGACTGCGTGGGCTGCTTCCCAGCTTCACGTGCTCCTGTGCCACGTCTCTGCTCCTTTACCCCCTTCTGTGAAGGGGGGTGGTTAGTGCCTGTCTCAGGGGAGAGGGAACCATTGCAGTGAGGGACACATTCGAGGCACTTTGGACAGAACGGTGCCTGCAGGGGACCCGCAGTGTTAGCGATGGTTACTCTCACTGATGTCACTAATGACATGAACACCTGCTTTTTTTTTCTCAGAATTGAGCACTTTGCCCAAATCTACAGTCAGAAAATTGGCATAAAAAAGGAAGTTCTTTTGAAAACATTGTGGGGAGACTATTACATAAATATGAAGGCCAAGAAGATCATGAAGGTGGATCAGGTAATGGGCGTATGTCCCTTTTGTTGTTTTGTTGTTTTTTTATTGTTGTTGTTTTTAATTCTCACCCGAGGATATTTTTAAGGAGAGTGGAAGGGAGAGGGAGAGACAGAGAGAAATATCGATGTGAGAGAGACACATCGATGGGTTGCCTCCTGCATGAGCCCTGACCAGGGCCTGGGCCGGGGAGGAGCCTGCAACCGAGGTCCGTGCCCTTGACCGAAATGGGACCCGGGACCCTTCGTTCCACAGGCTGATGCTCTATCCACTGACCCACACGGCCGGGGCTCTCTTTTGAATGTTGGTTCCTCCCCTTAGGAACCTGAACTGTGACCCCTTTAATGGATGTAATTCGGCTCTGACTCATGGGAGGCAGTTCCTGAAGGATGTTTCACTGTCTATGTTTGGTTTATGCTCATGAATCTTATATTCAAGTGCTGCTTAAATAGAGCGCGTCACATACAGGGAGCAAAGAATTGCGTTTTTTTTGTTGTTGTTTATTAGAGGAGAAAAATCTCAGATCCTGGTCACTTGAAGACATTTTTTAAAAATACTTTTTATTGATTTCAGAGAGAAAGGGAGAGAGAGAGATAGAAACATGAGGAGAGAGAATCATGGATCCGCTGTCTCCTGCACGCCCCACACTGGGGATCGAGCGCACAACCCAGGCATGTTCCCCGACCAGGAATCGAACCCGGGACCTTCTGGTTCATGGGCCGAGGCTCAACCACTGGGCCACACCGGCCGGGCTTAAAGACCCATTTTGCATCATGCACATGTGTGCCGCCTCCACCATAAACAGACATCTCTTTCACTCCCCTCTGTGTGGCCTACATGACATCCTCGCCTTAGCTGAGGCCTTCTCTCTTCTTTTAAAAAAAAATATATTTTATTGATTTTTTACAGAGTGGAAGGGAGAGGGATAGAGAGCTAGAAACATCGATGAGAGAGAAACATCCATCAGCTGCCTCCTGCACACCTCCCACTGGGGATGTGCCCGCAACCAAGGGACATGCCCTTGACTGTAATCGAACCCGGGACCCTTCAGTTCGCAGGCCGACGCTCTATCCACTGAGCCAAACCGGTTAGGCGCCGAGGCCTTCTCTTATCCATGCCCATCCCCTTGCGTGCTGATGGGAGAGTGGGTGCTGATGGGAGAGCGGGTGCTCCAGGCCCTGCCTCGGGGGACAGCGGGGTGCAGGGCTGCCGGGTCCCAGGCCGCGAGGTCCTTTTCCTGAAGCTTCGCTCCTCAATGTCAAGTTCAGGGTTGCATACATTTATTCTCACTGAAGAGCACAGGTGTTCTTCTTAGAAAGGACTCAGAGGGCACAGGGAAGACAACAGCCAGAGGCCAGCACTGGGCTACTGGCTACTGCCGTGGTTTTCATTTCTTTTATTTTACTTGGTTAATCCTCACCGAGGATATTTTCCATTGATTTTTAGAGAGTGGAAGAGAGAGGGAGAGACAGAGAGAAACATCGATGGGAGAGAAACACATGATGGGTTGCCTCCTGCACACGCCCCAACCAGGGCCCGGGCCAGAGAGAAGCCTGCAACCGAGGTCCGTGCCCTTGACCAGAATCGAACCCGGGACCCTTGGGTCTGCAGGCCGACGCTCTATCCACTGAGCCACACCGGCCAGGGCTCTTGTATTCTTCCTGACTAGATCTCCGTCCCTCAGCCGCGATTATACAGTCTGCGTAATGTAGCTCCTTTCTTGCTTGATGTTATGAAGCACAAAGCCCCACCGTGTGAGCATCTTCCCTGGGCCATGACAGGCCTTGAATCAGCAGCGCATTGAAGGGAGCCAGTGCAGGGAGCGGGGAAGCGCGGGAGAGCCTGACTGGAGGTTTGCATCTCGGCCCCAGCGCTCACCAGCTGCGCCCTGTGCCTCAGTGTTTCCATCTGTGAAATGGAGGCAGCAGTGCTGGCCTCAGAGGGCGGGTATGATAACGGTATGAAACCATCCGAGAAAAGCCTGGAGACCGTCCTGTCCCCTGAGTGCCCTGTCATCAGTGTGTGTTGTAAGCGTGTCAGCATTTACATCAGTGGTTCTCAACCTGTGGGTTGCAACCCTTCGGGGGTCGAATGACCCTTTCACGGGTCGCCTAAGACCATCCTGCATATCAGATATTTACATGACGATTCATCACAGTAGCAACATGACAGTGATGAAGTAGCAACGGAAATAATGTTATGGTTGGGTCACAACCTGAGGAACTGTATTTAAAGGGCCAGAAGGTTGAGAACCACTGGTTTGCATAATCACTGTCCTCAGATCGGACGTAGTATCTGTTTCTAATTTCCAAATGTTTTTTATTTTTTTTTTTTAAATATATTTTATTGATTTTTTACAGAGAGGAAGGGAGAGAGATAGAGAGTTAGAAACATCGATGAGAGAGAAACATCGACCAGCTG